CTCTGGAACGCATTGACCAAACTTGGTAACAGATTACTTATTCTCTGGAAACAAATACTGTGGGGGTAAGACACCCCTAACACCCCTTGGAGTGTGTTTTCTGTTAAGATATAGTCTGTTGTGCCTTAAAATGGCTTCTACTGCACAGCACAGTGGAGTTGCCATGGTAACGGCTTCACAGTACTCCACAAGGGGGGGGTCCCTGTGGTAAGGCGCGAAAATGCAACAATAGAAATTATGTTTGGTCCGGACGTTTGTGAATGTCTAATACAGGATTGGGATAAAGAAATATAGCTAGTACCAAATAAGTGCCAAAGAGTATATGTATGTTGGGGGTGGGAGTGGGGCTCTGTGGCTCTTTAAAGCAGCTGTGTCTTTTCCCAGGATTATGGGATAGCTGCCTTGGTTGCCAACTTCAGCCACTGACTCAAATTGGAGAACATTTAGCATCTTTCAAATATGCTACGTTCCAACCCCTTCCATTCCACCTAGTAATTGGCCATTCTTGCTGAGAAAATAGAGCAGAGATTGATATATCTGGAGATGTCTGTGCTGGGGGAGGGGGGGCAGAACATCCTCTTAATCACAGTACTGCTGTTGTTTAATTTTGGGTAAATATAGTTTCAGATTTCGCTGACCCAAACAAACCACATTTGCCCTCTGGTGGTAAAAAAAAGTTTGCCACAAACAAAAGGCAGTGCCTGAAATAAGGAGCAGCTGAGAGTTGGAGAGTATATACAACACTTTGGGGCGGGGGGAGGTTTCTCAAGAGGGTCTCAACAGATGGCAACAATGTTGGTTAACTTTATGGTGATGCACAAACTAAGCAGGACCAGATCCGGAATTGCAAGGCTAGAACTGAGAAGTTGGGGGAGTAGGGGGCCCGGGGTGGGGTGGGGGGAGACTCCGGAAGAACAGAATGGCAAGGTCCTTCTATTTTATTCTGCGGTCAAGAAAACTGCTTGAATGTATGAAGTCATCACAAACTGACCTTGACTTATCTTTTTTTTAAAAAAAAAATCTGGAAGAACAAAAAGTCCAGGAAAGAGAGAGCCGGTGCTTTAGAGATGGAGAGCTGCAAATCAGAATGCAGAAGCCACATGCAACGGAGGATACTTTGCAAAATGAGATGCACCAAGACCTCCAAAGCAAGGGGAGGCAGGTAAGCTTGTAAAAAGAGCAGGGCTGGATCACACCGGAAGCCAGATGCCAAGAAAATGCCGCTTAGATAGGCATGCAGTGGCACCCATGCATTTATGATGAGCCACGGTGGCTCAGTGGTTAGAGTGGAGTACTGCAGTCCACTTCTGCTGACTGTCAGCTGCCTGCAATTTAGCAGTTCAAATCTCACCAGGCTCGAGGTTGACTCAGCCTTCCATCCTTCTGAGGTGGGGAAAATGAGGACCCAGATTGTTGGGGGCAATAGGCTGACTCTGTAAGCCGCTTAGAGAGGGCTGTAAAGCACTGTGAAGTGGTATATAAGTCTAAGTGCTATTGCTATTGCTATGCACCCCAAGGACTGATACCAGAGAACCACTGGGAACCATTAAGAGCCTGGCTGGCAGCATCTTTAAGAGGGGAAAAAAACCCCTAAGATCTGGAAAAACAGAATGTTCTTTTCTTCCCAAAAGCATGTTTGGGAAGTGGTGTAGGGTTTCCTGCTAAGAAGGGGGTTGGACTAGAAGATCTCCAAGGTCCCTTCCAACTTTGTTATTCTAAGGAATAACCAGGGTTCTTTTGTACATATGAAGCTAACTCCTAAACGTGTGGAGGCGGTGGGGAAAAAGTTGCCCCATCTATCTCTATCTGTCACCGGAGATAAACTCAAACTGCGGGGGTGAAGAATAGGGGGGGGCATCTTTACTTTTATCACATCTTTAAGAAATCAGCAGCAGCTGTTATAGCTCTGCACTATAGGGGAATGCCTCAAGACCTCCGAAAGGGCACAGAAATAAAACTAACAAACAGAGAGCTTAGTGTTACACCCACATAGTGCAAGTCTATTTGCAAACCTTTAAGAGAGTGTTGATGTACATATATCTATCTATAGTGAACACATGTACACATTTCAGATATGCAGATGAGCCAAAGGAGATCCTGCAAGAAGGACTGATAGGCTGCGTCCTGGAGATTCTGCAATACAACCCACAGCTCCATTATTGGCAATTGTTGGCCAATGCATTAAGGGCCACCTTCTTTTAATGTTAGTGTATATTTAAAACACACAGTCAAGATAAAAAGAATGGAAAAAGGAAAGAAAGAAAAAAGATTGGCAAGTCATATCACACTGAACCCAAAAAGAGAAAATAATATTAGATTATTACAGGTAGTCCTCGTTACAACAGTTCATTTAGTGACTCAAGTTACAATTGAGAAAAAGTGACGGATGACCGTTTTTCATACTTATGACCACTGAAGCATCCCCATACCCACCCCTACTCGAATTGTTCCCACCCCTACTCGAATTGTTGTGCGTGTTGTGACTTTTTAAATTGTTTGTATTGTTGTTTGTTTTTTGTCTTTTTACTTTTTGTATTGTGACCCTTCCCTTCTGGTTTGTCAGCCGCCCTGAGTCCCTCCGGGAATAGGGTGGCATACAAGTCGAGTAAACCAACCATCCAACCAACCAACCCATGTTCACAGGATCAAAATTTGGATGCTTGGCAACTGGTTCATATTTATGACAGTTGCAGTGCCCCGGGTCATGCGATCTCCTTTTGCAGCCTTCCGATAAACAAAGTCAATGGTGA